AAACTAACGCCTGCTGTTGTAATGTGTTGACTGCTCAATAAAAAGCCTGGCAAGTGTTGAGCCAAGCGGAGATGCAGAGATTGATAGTTCAAATCTGGACTCCCCTTTGCAAAGCATTTCAGGGAAAATCTTACACTGTCTTTGTTTCCATTTTTTATAAGTTAAGGTTGGGGAAACTTAACAACCCTAACACCAACCCTCTCCACAACTTCAATTTCACAATTCACATCCACACCAGGGAGAGGAGGCACTCTACCTTGACAGAGCTGATGTGTGGAAGACTTGGAGGAGAGTCAACCTAAGAACAGCCCCAGGCCCTGATGAAACATCTGGGCGGGTGTTCAAGGAGTGTACAGGTCAGCTGGCTGGTGTCCTCACAGACAATTTTAACACCTTGTTCGACTTCAATGCCAGCATGCTTTAGGTCTGCCACCGTCATTTGAGTCCCAAAGAAGCCTCAGGTCCCCTCACTCAATGATTACTGGCCTGTTGCACTGACTCCCATCATGATGAGGTGCTTCGAAAGGCTGGTTAAAGAACACATCAGCTCCAGATTCTCTCCAACATTCGACCCGTTCCAGTTCGCCTACTGTCAGAATGGCCCAACTGAAGGCGCCATCTCCTCTGCTCTCCATCTGAGCCTGGCACACCTGGAGGAGAAGAACAACCACATGCGGATGCTGTTCCTGGACTTCAGTTCAGCTTTTAACACCCTCAACCTACAGCATCTGATGGGCAAACTGAAACAGCTGGGCTTCAAAACACCCCTCTACAATTGGCTGCTAGACTTCCTCACCAACAGACCTAAGTCAATCCAGGTTGGACAGAACATCTCTGATTTCATCACCCTAAGCACAGGCTCCCCACAGGGCTGCGTCCTGAGCCCCCTGCTGTTCACTCTGATGACACACGACTGCGTCCCCGGGTTCACCAACAATCACATTATGAAATTTGCAGACGACACTACGGTGGTGGGCCTCATCAGAGACGACAACGACCGGGACTACAGAGAGGAGGTGGAGCAGCTGGTGGACTGCTGCAAAGACAACAGCCTAAAGACGAAGGAGATCACCGACTTCAGGAAGAACGGGCCTAACCAGGCTCCACTGCTCATCAACAGCTCAGCTGTAGAGGTGGTCGCAGAATGAAATTCCTGAGGGTGCACATCCCAGACATCCTGCAGTGCATCAAACTGGAAGAACGTGAGAAGAGTGGAGCTTTTGGTACACTGGCTTGGCTTTATACGGATCCTGCAGGTAAGGTCCTCTAGGATCCGGATAAAGCTACAATCATGCCAGGGTAAGGTTTCTGGCATGATCCCCTCAAGAAACCACACTCTAGCAAGTTTAAAAGCTTCAAAAAAATACCAACAGCTGCATCTGCTTCCAGAAAGTCAGGTCCCTGAAATTACCTGTGTGGTTTTAATGCAAAGCTTCCCTGCTGCTCCAGAAGCTGATCACACATGGACATATTTCTCAGTCTGAGCATATGAACCCCGTCATCTACACATCAGTGAAAATGGTACAAACCTGGAGCAGAAGTCCTGAAACGATCTGCGGACCGGGAAACCGCTGCGTCTGATCTTGACCGTTTCCAGCATGCCGGAGTACCTGAGCTGGTTCAGAACCACCGTCTGGTCAAATTGCTCAGGCATCTGTGCGACAAAGAGAGTAAATATCATTCCAGAGAGCAGCTAACATAAGCAAACCCCCCTACTGTGTGACCTTTTTACAGTGATATAATCTATCATGCATTATTATCTAACAACAGGATATGCCTATTGATGTTGCTCTGCCCCTTCTAACACTATTACAGCATTACAGGCAGATCTATAATGTTTGCGACTGTTTGACCTTTACACAACAGAGTCTGATGTTATTTCCGTGATTGTATGGGATGATATTAAGGTCTGGTTTGACAGCAAACATTGTGTTGCCCCGGGTGATTTTAGGGAGTGATGCTAAGAGGAGATGGAGATGAACATGTATGGAAACCAGCTGTTAAAAACCTTCATCTGCTGCTTAATGTTGAAACTTCTTCACATCTGTCACTGGAGAGACTTTAAAGATCTTTAGTGAAAAATAATGGGGCAGCAATAACAACACACTTAGCACTGAGATGCCATTCAGTTGAAGCCTTATCCTGGGGGGGTGGTGGGGACTTGTCACCCTGTAACCTCAGTGGGCGTCAGTGGGGGTGGGTGGGGTTAGTTCAATATAAGTGGGAGCTTTCATTCCCAATGGTAATGCCCCCTTTATTCAGCAGGTCTCTCCTGATAGCCAAACTGATGGCCCAGTTGTCTGGAAGAAGGGAGGCCAATTCACCCGATCTTCCCAGCGTGATTGAAAGGAGGCCTTTAATGCTACCAGCCACAGAAGACATCTTATTAGCATGATTAGCATTCGCATACGGACGACGATGCAGCCGTACAAAGGCGAGCGGTGTCAGGAAGCTGCCCCTCTGCCTCCTGGCTCTGTTTTCATTTTTGACGTTTCCTCTTTCTGCTCTGGTTTCAGACGCTTCTGTGATGTCAACAACTGGGGTCCTTCCCCTGTTAATAATAAAATCTCATACTTTACAGACCCACATATCTAAAGTTCTCCTTTATCTCTTTAGCGCTCGGCCTATAAATATGAAACCTGAAAAACTAAAAGCAGGAAGGAAGACGGACAGAGTTGGATGGAACCTTTGAAAAGTTATAGATTAGATAATGAACGTTTTTTTCAGCAAACTATTTTACCCCAAATTAAGTTTGAAATTATTAATCAAGCTAATCTAATTTCTAAAGAGAACATGTCACCATTCCATAGCTGTTCAAAAGACTTTTAGGTGCCCCTCTGCAACAAATATATTCAGAAAATTGTATATTTTCATGCATTTTCTAGAATTTAGCCTACTAATCAAAAATCAGTCGATTTTTACACATGGCTCTTGATCTCTTAGAAATGTAATGATGTTATATTTCGTTAGAACATCGATTAGTCATTTAGTGTATTTGTTTAGTTCAGGGAAATAAGATAAAAACAACTTTTATATTCTCTCATGCTGAGAGTCAGGCTTGGTTAGACAGGCTTCTTCTGACGGATGACAACAATAGATGTCTCAGCCTGACTTTCCAGAAAAAGAAAAAAACGAAAACTAAAGAAAAAAATCTGTGATGTGTGCATTCAGAGGCAAACAAACGGGGGAGTGGTGGTTCGCTTTTGAGGGGGCTGGGAGGCAGCAGAGGTGAAAACCAGCAAACATGGCAGAACAACTAAACTCAGGATTAGCTGTCCATCATTCAGCTCAGATAAGACAGCGAGGAGAGCTGAGAGAGGAGAGAGGTTTCCTGTATTGGATTGGAAAAAGCATCTGTCCACTCATCAAAGCTTCAAATAAATCACTGATGAGTTTGATGCAGCCCTATGTATTGTTGGTATGTAAAAAAAATCTAATTATCTCCTGACATTTCCAAGAGTGACCTTTCCGTTCCAGTTCTCAGATAAGCAAAGTTCAACCTGTCTCAGGGGAATATATTTAGAATAAGTAATCACCAAAATTACTCTTTTTATTGCTTACCATCAGGTTCAATTAATGCACGTTAGAGCTCATAATACCTTCTACATGCTGCTGATGATGCAAATGTTATTGCAATCATTTAGTTTTCTGTTATGAGACTGCAGTTACAAATAAGTGGGCCAGAAGAGGAAAGTCTCTCCTGACATTAGGAAATCATTCCATCTGGAAATTTGCTTCTCATCCGCTTAAGACATATAAGACATTATAATGAAATGACCATTCAAAGCTAATTCATTGAAAAAGTCAAAGATTCCAAAGTTATTCCAATATTAAACTGCAGTTGAAAAGTACAGTCTGTGTCATGAATATGTAGCTCTATAAGTTTAGTCTTTAGGTATCAGAGATGCTTTTTCTCTCTTGTCAGAATTTAACATTAATGCTTTAACCAAGAGATCTAGAAGCCTTTACATTTCATAAGGTTCTGTTTGTGAGACACCTGCTTGTTTTGTCTCAGCGAGGATTATCACTCACAGCTCAGTTGGGGGGATTGGACACCTGAATGTCACTGCGCCTTTAAGTGCAGATAAATTCCCAATAAATCTCAGCCACAGTGGGATTTAAGCCTGTATCAGATTGTAGGAGTAGATTTCTTAAAAGCAGGGAGATAAACTAACCTGCAGAGGTCACAGCATTAGCAATAAAATATTAGCATCAGGATTTGAATATACTGATGCTAATATTACTTGAATGCAAGGACTTATAATTAAGCCCCTAGAAATATTTGGCAAGGACTTGTTTCTGTTGCAACTGTCCCTAACGGTGTATGTTATTATGGGCTGTTATAAAAGTTTTTTTTAATATACCTACATTTCTATCATTGTTTTATTTTTAAAAATCAATTTGGAAACTACTTAAAAGTAATAAAACTTAATGAATATATACATATTTATTTGTATATATTATATACACGTACATATACACATATGTATACACTTAGATAAAGATAATACAAAGAGGGTGAGAAACCCAAATGTTCTTTAATGCATTATTTTCTGTTCCAAATTTTGCCAAACATGCAGAATTTCACTTTTTCACACAGCAGGAACATTAACTATTTGACAGCAGTAAAAATGTTTTTTTCTGCTCTCAGCCATTCCTTCAATGAATTTTATTTTGAAATAGAATGATGCCACATAGAATATCTAATGTTTAAGATATTAAATGCATTTTCTAAGGTCTACAGGGAAACTGCTGGAATTCTAACAGAATTAGGGTCTGTAGCTACAAAATGCATTTTTTTATTTTGTTTTGTTAAACAAAGGATCAAAAAATAGCTGACCCTTTTGGATGATTAAACGGTGAGGTAATTATATCCCACCATGGCTTCACAGATTGATTGTGTAGGAAATATACCCAAGGATAAGCAGATGTGTAATCTCATTAGAAACAGTTCAGATTGCTACTTTCTCCTCATTACCCTGTCACCGAGTCGGCTCATTCTATTTTCAGATTCATTCATCTCTTGGCCCCCAGGCCTCATAACAATCACAAAGATAGTTTTAAAGAGTACTTTCTTTATCTCATGTAAGTCTAAGTTAACACCTGAACAGGTAAGTCTAGAAGTTGTCGAATATGCGTTTGACATCTAAAAACAACCATTTTCCTTTTTATAGCCCAACAGAACCACAAAACAGCCCCCTTTTCAAGTAATAATAGTGCACTGGTCATGAAACAGCCTCATCTCACTTTATATCCCAGCTTTGAATTTAAATCACATGCAGAGCAATCCCTCTCAGAAATTCTTCCTCACATCTGAATCATGCATCAGGTCTCACCTTGCATCTTAGCTTCTTGCTTTGTACTGCAGTGGAATAAGCTTCATCAAGCTGCAGTTTATCCGTGCTTCTGCTCCTCCAGCACACTGACTCGTTCACACACATTCATCCCCACAGAGTCAAACAAAGCCTTTCAAACCCAGAAATCCACTCCCCCTTTTTTAACGTGGGGAGGGAGGGCCGTGGTTGGCATGGCGACGCATCTCCTGCTGAGGCTAATTTGTGCCGGCCACTTGTAGGGTCTGTTATGTGTATTTGAATGTGAGAAAGGGATGGCTGTTTACATTCAAACGTGTCCACTGAGTGCAGCTGACTGGCCTGATGAAGCGCTCAAAATGGACGAAGCCCTTCTAACGTAAAGTTTCCGCAACAATATTAAACAGAGAATCCCACCATCATGTGGATCAAGGTCTGTTTATGTTGCAGCATTTTTAGCTTGAAGCAAAATTGTATAATATGATAGAAATGCTTTTAAAATATAGAGGGAAAATGACCTTTGTTTTTCCATTGAAGCATTGCCTGATTTTAGCTTGTGCACAGAGATGGACATAATCAAAATGGAACCGGTGTGTGTAACATGTGCAAAATTTTACATCATTAGGTAAAACGAATGCTGATACCGTAGGTCTTTTTGGCCAAATGTGTGTCCAAATGTGCAAATTATTGGACAATAAAAACACATTATCTTATTTCTAAGATTTTTTTTACGAAGGGGACAAAAGCAAGTGTGTAACATACTGTGAGAGCTGATACCTATCAATCAAGTGGTTCTTCCAAAGTACACATGACTACATGCAGCAAATCTTGAGTTTTGACCTTAATTCCTGCACATCTTTTCAAAACTCTTTCCTTTGACTGCCATCTCATGTCAACAATTTTCTGAAATGTGTGTCAGAATGCAAGGTAGGTGAGAACAGAGGTGGGAATGTGCAAAACAAATTGGGAGAGAAGTTTGTTTTGCTCAAAGCGATCTATAGGATGACTGAAAAACGTTGGGTTTATTGTGATTAACACAGAGCTGAAAACAAGCGCACCCAAAATAGCAACCAGAAACTATGGAGAAATATTAGATTTTATATAATTTTCACTACATTAGATTATTTTGATAGAAAAGAAAAAATGTTTTGATAGATCACACCCCCACAGGGAGCTAGGCTATGGACAATACAATTTCAAATTGTATTTGTATTATTATGGAGAAAAGGAGCCCACACAGGCCTGAAATGGACAACACTGGGAGATGTGTGAAGTCAACTTTGGTAAGAAAGGAAAATATTTTCATATGTTTTATATTTGAAGTGAAAAATTAAAGACCATAATTTGTGCTTTTTTTCCCAAAGATTTAAGTCACAACATTTAACCTTTAGTTAATGCTGCTTTTATTATGATTAGTCTGGTTTGAATCAAACAGGCAGATGGCAGGGACGCCTCTCCAGGGACATTGCGGGTCACGTTGCCGTGTTGCTCTGACCCCTGTGTTTCCCACTAAGGAGCAAGTAAAAATGATCTGGAGCTCTGTCCCTCACTACATTAAGCCCCAATCAGAGGTCATCATCCAGCCCTGCCTACAGTACCATCCAATCTGAGGAGAAGGGTTCAGATGGCTGGGCCTCACTTCATTAAACAGGCTGGATCATATACTTAGCAGAAAGAGTACGGCTGGTTGCTGAACTATTTTGCTTGTATGTTTTTCTTTTTTTATTTGTTTATAAAAAAATTACAAAGTAAAAAGGGTTTTTTAATTTTTACAGATTTTTAATAGTTTTTTTTTAATTTTGACATTTTTTTTTACTTATTTTTTAATAGTTTTATGATTTATTTGGATGCAAATGCTAGATTTTAATATAAGGGATTAATGGTGTGGTTAATAAAAACAGTTATTAATAATAACTTAATTATATTACTCACAGAGTGTAATTGCTAATGATATTTTGAAAGGGAGTATTGTTTAAATTAGGTAAAACCTATATATAGCGTACATTAAAACTAAAACAAAACAAAAAAAACATTCTTTACTATGGTGATGAGTACATCATTATGGATAAAAAATTTTAATAGTTTTTTACAGTTTGTCATCTTATTTTTTAAACTTTTTATGAATAATTTGCCTGCAAATGCTACATTTTTTTTATATAAGAGATTAATGGCATTTGGAGTGCCTAGTAGTCCTTCGACGACTAAAGCCAGAGGAGACGTTTGGGCGTGTCTCTGATGACATCACATAAAAACTTATCTTTTCCACTTCCTTATTCATCCGCCTACTTAAGCTCAAATGAAAGTTGAGCTTTGACAGACATGTTTGAATTTTCAGAGAGCTCTGTGTACTAATGACTCTGAGCACATTTTAAAGTGAAAGTTGAGCTTAACAGATATAGAAATGAACAGTTGTAACAGTTATTTAAAACAGAAAATAGAAAGAAATGAATCTTTAACATATTGACCACTTAATAGTAAAAATTGAGAAAAATTAACATCCAATGAAAAATGAACCTAGAACCGGAAAAATAAAGTGCAAAAGAATGAATAGAAGCTCTGAGAACAAAGATGAGTTTGTAGCTTAAAACTGGAGGAAGGATAGGAAAAGTAGAAACACGTAGGCTAACCTGGTTGGTAAGGATAGATCATTCCTTTCTTTGCTCAGCCCTTCATTCATTCCTAAATTCGATAAGCCACCAGGATCTTCGATATCTGTAAATCCTCATCTGTTGCACATGTTAGTTTAGTTTGTCCACAAATGTTACTCAGGGTAACCATTTGCTATCCTGTAAATTACTTTTTGTTTTTATTATCTGTCTTAAGTTTGTCAGTAACTTTTCATTAATGTTGGTCCCAACCAATTTTTCACTTCAAGCAACCTCCTTTGGCAGGAACAGCAGCCACAGTGCAGGTAGTATTTCCTATTTTAAAAAACAGTGTTCTACTAAAGCCATGCATGCTTCACTACTTGAGCCTGTTGCTAAGCAACCTGGGGCTTAAGGTCACCAGAGGAGCCAGACAGCATTTTTTTTCTGTCAACTTTGCTCAGGGAAAGGAGTGTTTAATGAATAAATGACACCCGGTTCACACAGCATGTCATGTCCTGACCCACAAATATTTACCTTAGACAATAAATATGAGACTGTGTGGGACTGAATCATATGTGCACAATCACATGAGACACACGGAACTCACCTTTTGTGTATTTGGTTTGATGCATCGTATGAAGTATGGGTTGGATGTGCTGAGGGTGGCCATCAGAGAGTGCAAAGAGTCCTGGAGACACATAAAATAATGTCTTATTCCCTTTATGAGATAAGTAGTTGTGAAACCCTAGCTAACACCGTCTTTATATTGTTTCCAACAGTTAAAGCTTTGGTTTGTACATTTCATTTTGTACTTTTTCATGTTTTTTCTTTGGATATTAAACAGTGCTACTTAAAAATGTTAGTAATGCAATTCAAAGAAAAAGATAAGAAGAAACAACTAAAATTGAAACATTTAACAGATTTATAAATTAGGCTAATGCCACATGTTTTACCCTGACATATGTTTTGTCCAGCACAAAACTGTGAGGATTGCCTTCGAGTCAATGAGTCGATGCAATCAGCTGCTTTTCCTTAGAGAACTTTTAACGAATCTGACTGTATGATATGCTTGAATTGTCTCTGTAAAATGCCTTGAGATGATTTGTGTTTGGAATTGGCGCTATATAAATAAACTGAATCGAATTGAAAACTGTAGGGTGGTAGGGATCTACTGTGAATTCTGAAATAAAGGTCCACTTTTACAGATTTTGCAGACTCTTCATCAATAATTTAAACTATAATTTGGTTTTGCCATGAGTGATGAGGTCTAAGCTGACTCTATAATAAATCCCCCAATCCATCGAATATAGCGCACATAGACAGACCTTTAAATCAGTTTTTCAAAATAAATAAGTATAAAATTGATATACTACACTATATATTTCAGGATTTTTGTGCGTCATATTCATTATTCTACAGAATTCCAAACATGTATCCTCCACAAAAAGCCATAAAACACACTCATTTTATGTAAAGACATCAGCTGTGACCATAAATCTCTTGTTTAATGTTGGATTTCTTTTTGTTCTTCCTGCTTTGAGGCTAGTTTCATAATAATCCATACATGCTCAAGACAGTAATAGTGTTTGAAATTGAATAAATGTGTATATGTTTCTTAAAAAGTCCCAAATGTATTAAGTCAATTTCATTTTCACTAGATTTAATTTGTCTCAAAAACATCAATTTTATTTTCTATCTGTTAACTTATTCAGCCATTTATCATCAAGTTATCCAGAGAAAGACAGATTATCATTCTCAGTTTCTTTCTAGGTTAAATCAAAGTATCAGTCCATCCATCCATCCATCCATCCATCCATCCATCCATCCATCCATCCATCCATCCATCCATCCATCCATCCATCCATCCATCCATCCAT